GTGTACGAATTTTCGATAATTAGTGCAAAATATCTGGCAACTTCGTGACTGCTTTTTTATTAGGGCTGTTCTGGAGTGGTAGGATGTACTAGTCCAAATTTCCACCACGATGCACGACAAAGAGAAAACGTCCTGGTTGGAAAAATGAGAGTGTAGTGGGCAACGAGGCGGAGTATCGTAGAAGATTACGAGTTCTTGCCAGAGAACAGTTCAATTCAATGTCTAAATATTTGCGCATATTTTATTTTTATTAATCGAAGTAGAGAAGGGTTGTGTAGATCTTGTTCTCAAAATTTATACACTCATTTTTATTTATGATAAGGCGAATTTACAGTGCCCATATTGTGCTATTATCTACTATCGCTCTTTATTATAGATCTAAAGTCTACGCTGCTATTTGAGACTGACAACACCGGTCCAGTTAGTAGATGGGTATGTAGGTAGAACTATGCAACGTAACTCCATGAATGAATTTTCGCAGAAACAGAAGTAAGATCTTTAATCAAGTGAAGTTTCACGCCTTTAATCAAATCTACCTGGTTTTGTTTGTTCGCATCGCTTTTTCGACAACGCGCTTTCCGTGTATTTTGTAATACCAGGCGTAAATCGCTAGGGTTGTGAGATTTTTTTGCGTTACCAGTCCCTATGGACGAGGAAATGTTTGTGTCTGAAGCCTTTCAGGGCCTTGATATGGCCTTCACAAATGCCCTGACAAGCATGCGAAAAACGTTATGGGATGTTTTTGCAGCAAAAATCTCAGGTGCGTGAAGGGTGATTGGGTATATATCTGTTATAACTGTAAACTGTTTTGCTTCAAAATGGCTAAAAGTTAAATATTCCTCCTCAGAGGGATTAGTAAACTGCTAGCGCACAGTGTCCTTTTCATAAGCAAACCTGCGCTCACGAACTTTTTTTTCGTTGCCTCTATTATAGCATTGAAGTGTTGGCGTGTGGTTGCATTCGACCTACATAAAAGTACGCTTCGGGTTACATGTCTTCTCTGTTCGTAGGCATACGTTCTTATTTAGAAATAGGCAGTGGACCTTAGACTAGTTTTTGTCTGTAGACTAACGATTGTGTAAGTCCGTGAACTAGTTTACCATGAGACAGATTTGGTATGTGGCTATGGCTTTCTCTTGTTTAGTTTGCTCTAGTGGTTGAGACTGCCGGAGTTGGGTATGAGTCCAACGCATACCAGGGATACGTACCCCCTGTGATTGCGCCTTTCTGCCCTCTTTCATCTATCTCTTCTGACCTAATCGAGCCTGTAGTATCCTTAGGCCATCGCGTATAATAATGCTTTGGTTTTCTTGTCTTGATAGTAAATACCCAATCTTTAACCGACTAACTCTGCTTGCCGCTAGCATTTTAAATTTAAAAAAAACAACCGCTAATTTGGTATGGGAGCAGAACGGCGGTTGTCCTCATTAACGTCGGCCTATAATCTAATTCCGTAGACGGAGCTAATTCATTTGACACCCTATGCCACGACCATCATCGAGGTTTTACGTACAGAAAATGGGCAGTTACAGTCCTTGGCAGAGTTCACCGCTGACTTGTGTTGAGACTGTCCAGCTTGAATTCACTCAAAGCTGTCGCGAATAAAATGATCTTTAACTGTAAAGAGAAGTTAAAAAATAGAGACTGAGTGAATAGTTGCGGACCTCTTCTAGCCGTTAGTTGTGCCTATGAACCACTTTATTATCGTACTCTCGATCATCTTAAGCGAACGGGCACCAGCCCTCCTTCACG